GTTCAAACAATTTAATTTTTCCTTTCTTCCAGAAGGAGTCACTGTGCCCTGTTGATAGCCTCGGAGGTTCCCTAACCCATCCTTGAAAGAGTGTGGAAGGCAGGTCTCCCTTATCCTAATGAGGACGGTTTATTGATGCATACAAATCCACTCTAGATTTTAGACACTAGAATAGATGAGATACGGGGGACTCTCAGGTGATTGTTTTTTGTTCCATTACTGTACGCAGTGTTGCTTGCTTCCCGTTTTGGTTAGATACTGTATGCAATGTGTTCTTCCCTCCCCAATGGAAGAAACTATGCTTTCAGTTCAGAAATCTAAATGTCAGTCCCTGTTAGCAAGTCCTCATTCCCAGTGGCAGAACTATGTTCTGTGAGTGTCTCGCCACAGGATAAAGCCTGCCAGGGGTTCTGGGCATTCACACAGGAAAGCAAAATTGTAATCAGGTAGCAATACCCTCTCAACTCTATGCATGGTTTAGTCTATAACTTTAGTGTTCTCTACCTTTCTTTTTTTTCCCTTCCTCCCTTCACTTCTCCCCTCCCTCCCTCTCTCCCTTGCCCCTTTCTCTGTATGTCTCTCTGTTGCTGTCTGTCTCTGTCTCTCTTTGTCTCTCTGTTTCTCTGTCTGTCTCTCTGTTTCTCTGTTTCTGTCTGTCTCTCTCTTTGTTTCCCTGTGTCACTCTGTGTTTCTCTGTCTTTGTCTGTATCTTTCTCTGCCTTTGTCTCTGTCTCTGTCTCTTTCTCTCTCACACTCTGTCACTCTCCTGTGCACCTGAACAAAATTCCCTGCTCTCCTAGGATTCTTTGCAGTTTTCACAAAGGCATGATCCAAACACGACATGCGTCATGGTTACTGCTTATCAGTGAAGCTGTGGGCAGCCAGTCAGGCTGCCTGTCCTTTAATAATTCTAAGTTAAGCAGTTGCTCTGACTTGGGGGGTGGAAGAATAAAGCTAAAACATTTTGATGGCTTCTAGTACAGATCAAATTCCAAAAGCTTAAATAAATGTCACTTCAGAGCAAGTTAAACCTATTTTCTTCCTAAAGTATGGCTGCTGCTGTCTTGCCAGCAAACGGGGGACACTGCCTTTGTGTCTGTTTGTCTATTTAGTGACCATGTACCTCCCAGTGAGGCATGTGGACAGGCGGCCAGTCTGCCATTACACAGCTTATCCTTCCCATGATGCCTTGGGATCTCTAAGTGGGTCTTGTTAGATACATGGCACAAAGCATTAGCAGTCTCTATAATGTTAAATGTAACAAAGCAGAATCTAAAAGTTTACCCCAAGTTTCAACCTCTCTATACGCGCCCCCCTCAATTTCACAGGAAATTTATGCATCTTTGACTCTCAGAGGAGGGCGGCATCCATCTTACCTGTTATACAGCTAGAGCTCTTGCTCTGTTCCAGATTCCGTGGTTTGCAGAAACGCAAACATTATGTCGGGCTATAGTGAAGTTTCTAACACAAGACTTATGCATCTGTCCCTATCTCTGCTGTTAACTGTGTCACTTGGGGGGCGGGGCGAGGAGGGCTTTATCTTTCATGCACTAATGTGAAAGACCAAAACATCTTGGAAGAACTTAGTATTGCTAATATAATTAACTTCTCTTTTGGGAAACTCTTACTTAGTATTTAATTTTATTTGTAGGCATGCATGCGTGTGTATATGTGTGTATATGTGTGTGTGTGTGTGTGTGTGTGTGTGTGAATGTATACCACTGAGGAGAGCATTGGATCCCCTGGAGCTGGAATTATAGGTAGTTGTTAGCCACCCAACAATGGGTGCTGAGGACCAAACTTGGGTCCTCAGGAAGAACAGCAAGTACTCTTAACTGCTGAGCCATCTCAGTCTCTCTTTCGGAAAGTGTTTATGAAACCGTTTTTCACATTGGAATGTTCCACACGTAAGTATACTTCTCTTAACATGATTTTTATTTCCAGTGCTGCAAATACAACGCACAGTCTCATACACACGAGCTAAGCACGTGCTCTTCCATGAACTATAATCCCAGATCCACCAACACAAACTTTTAAAATTCCACTATTTTTTAACCAACAATAGTTATGTTTATGTGTGCTTGTGCATGTGTTTGTGCATATGTGTGCATGCGTGTGTGCATATTTTTTGAGCCAGGGTCTCTCAGTGAACCCGGAGCCCACTGGTTTAGCAAGACCAGATGGCCAGAGAGCTCTGGGATCTCCCTGGTTTCCCCCTCCCCCACCCCTGACCATTGGAATTACAGGTGTGGGCTGCACCCAGAGGTAGGTGCTGGGTGTCTAAACTCAGGTCCTAATGCCTGCACAGAATACACTTTACCAAGTGAACCATCCTCTCCACTCCCGGTTGCTTATATAACCTGAGCTAAAATATCTACAAGGCAGATCCATCTTTAGGGATAACTTAGGTGGGGCAGAAGTTACAACAGTAGCGTGGTTGGTCACAGAGCTTTTAGAATCAACACAACAAGTACAAATCACAACCCTACTAGCCAACGGTGGTGGGATGGGGTAAGTTACCTCTGCCAGGTCACTGGGTTTCATCTGCAAGATGAGGATAAGGCTAACCTCTCCTGACCACGGTGAAGGATTAACAATGTATCAGAGGTGCTCAGGACACAAAGTCCAGGCACATGGGAAATGCTCCGTACATGCCAGCTTTTAGCTTTTTTTTTTCCACTGGGGGAGAAAGTGAGCAGTGTCTCTCTCTCTCTCTATGATGGGGGCGCGGCCAATGTAAGCACTCTCTCTCTATGATGGGGCGGGGGCAGGGTGGGTAGGGGAGATGTGAGCAGTCTCTTTTGTTTGTTTGGGTATTTTTTTGTTTGTTTGTTTTTTGAGACAGGGTTTCTCCGTGTAGACCTGGCTGTCCTGGAACTCACTCTGTAGACCAGGCTGGCCTCGAACTCGAACTCAGAAATCCACCTGCCTCTGCCTCCCAAGTGCTGGGATTAAAGGCGTGCGCCACCACCGCCCGGCAAGCAGTCTCTTTCTAGGACACGAGCAAGTCCCAGATTGCTATGGTTTAGTTTTACAAATTTCCGTAAAATTTTTATGTAATGATCTTACCTTTTTTGTGTACTGTTCTACTTACTTTAGGAACTCTTTTTTTGTATGCTTTTGTTTTTGTCTTGTTTTTATTTGCTGTTTTGTTTGTTTGTTTGTTTTACTGTCTTGGGGATCAAAACAGGCCTTGTATATACTAGGCAAGTATTCTACACTGAGCTACACCCCAGCTTCTAAGTTCTGGTTTTCATAGTTTACGTTAGCTTCTGATTCTTACCTCAGGGTCTAGTTCTAGCTGATATCTTTTCCAGACTCTTTCTCTTCCTCCCCTTCCTCCCCTTCTCCTCTCCTCCTCTTCCTTTTTTTTTTCTGAAACAGGGTCTTCCTATAGCTAGCCTAGAACTCAAAATCCTCCCAAATAGCTGTGTGCCACGCCCCTCAGTTCACAGGATCCCTTCTTCTGATTTGAAGCCTTACTGTGGCCTAAGAAACTGTGATACAAATTCCTAAGGAAAGAAAGGGTTTCCCCCAGTGAGGGCCTCGGAGTCACTCCCAAGGATAAGAAAGCCAAGCATTGGAATTCATCGACATCTATTTCCCCTTCGAGGTCTTTCTGGCTTACTTATTGTGTTCTCAGCTGTATTTTGGAAAGCTGGAAATACCAAGCAGGTAACCTATGAATTAACGAGGCACCATTGTTCTGATTCTGTCAAGCATTAGATTAATCAAAACCAAATGAAAGGTTAGTTTCTTCACGTTTTGCACTGTTAATTTTCTACAATTATTAGCCAGCAACCAAGGTAATTATTAAGCTTTCAGCCCAGTGTTTTCTAGTGCAGCACCAGCTTTGAACATGTGGGTACCACTCGCTTCACTACCGTATGAAGCTCAAGCAAGACAAAAATATTCCTGTGCAACTGGATCCATTGCTCTGAGGTGGAAAGCATCAGTGCAATGAAAGAGAAATATAAGCCTCTTCAGAACCGGCTGAAAGAAAGCGCAAACAATGACTAGGTAAAGAGAGAAAAAATAGGGACTGTGCCTTCTTGAAATTTAGCAGAAAAAAAAAAAAGAAACAGAATATGGATCCATAAAGAGAAACAAGGAATAATTTACCAACTTTATCCCCAGCCCCAAGGATAATAAGTTTCCAATTTACTACTTGGTTCAGGAACATCTTCAGCCTTTCCTCCCACTGGAAAGGCATGAGAGAGTTTGATAAGAACACTGTGCACACAGAGATGCTCAAACCTCCTGCTCCTGTGGCCGGATGCCAGTAGAGCCCAGCAACCTCCCACCCCTGGGAAATCTAAGCCTGCACCAGAATCTGGCAGCCACCAGGCTGCAATCTTTATACTAATAGATCTGAAAATCATGGATATTTTTGCATTATGTGTTACCTTCTCTCTCTCTCTCTCTCTCTCTCTCTCTCTCTCTCTCTCTCTCTCTCTCTAATGTTTATCACAACAAAATTCTTTAAGTCCTCCAACTTACAAAAATTCAAATAAAATTGATGTTGTTGGGAGGTTTGCATTGAGTTCACTTGCCTTTCTCTTGAACAAAACCAGTTTTAGTCAGAAGTGTGTGAGTTCAGGTGAAAACAAACTCAAAGGTCTCAGATACCTCACAATAAATTAATAACCCAATTTTCTGTGAGTATGGATCCCAACTCTCATGCATCTCAGTGAAGCCAAAAGATCTGAAAGGGTGAAAAAACTGGGCCCTGTGGTCTGAAAATGCCCTCATCCTTTGTGAGCTACTGCTTTATACAAAGATCAACAAGGATGTCTTCCCCCTGAAATTAGTGTTTCTCTAAATACCTTAACTTGTGGGAGCACTGAATTACCCAAGGGGATGAACACCACAACGAAGCAAGTGGCTGTTCTTTGCAAATCAGTGATCACGGACACAGAAGAGTCATCGCTGGGAACAAAGTGACAAGAGGCAGAGAGGGCCCCAGGAAAGGCAGTAACAGCCAGAGAGGTGACACTCACCCTCGTCCTGATAATCTGATGCAAGGGGTGGGCCGTGAGTCCCACTCAGAGTGTCGTCAGAGCCGTCCTGGCCAAGGTCACCTCCTGAGGGTTGAGAAAGAAAATCAAGTCATCTACTGGACATCTTGATATGGACGTTTACAGGTGTCTTCGGGTGCTTGCAAAGATGGCGACATCCCTTACGTGATGTTCATGCCCACTCCCACTAGCTCGAGACAAACAGAGAACCAACTTTAAGAACCAACTTACCTGTGTGCAAAATCTTCCACGTCACCACCTCCCTCTAGTACTAAGCAACTGGTAACCTTGCTTGGGAAGACCTTTCGCTACAAAAAAGTAATTTCTCTGTCACATTTAAAATGAAAACCTAGCTGTATAAATTTGTTTTCATATATTTTATATCTCCATGAATTACAACCTTTACCCCGAAGGCCTCTTTCTCTTTCCATTTCTAAATGAAATGGAAGGACTGATACAAAGGCCTAATCTTCTCTACATAATATAATGTAGCAAGGTCAATACTCTCTCCTACCCTGGAAAAATCAGAGCAGTAAACAGAAAGAACCCAGACTGGATTCTATTCCTATTTAAATCACTACTTGTTTTGCAACCTTAATAAAGTTCGCTCTTGTAATTCTGGTTTACAGCCTGAAAGCAACCTCTCCCAGGGACTCCAAAAGCCGGAGGAAGGTAATATTTGTTCTGCAAAATGACTTTGATAAAAGGTAATGTATATACAATACTGAATTATGCAATTAAAACATGGCTAATCTCTTTTGGGTGTTTTCGGCCTACGTTGAATTGTATTTTGCAGAAGTGGCCAGTGCTATTATGATACTTTAAAAGGTTCAGGCGGAGGATGTCTGCTCACTCGGAAACCGGAAGAAAATGAAAGCACTGCAAATTGTTTTCCTTAAAAAAAAAAAATCCCCTAAACAGAGGTACAGGCCTGCTGGTGAAAAGGCACCGACAGCTGCTCGGTTCATTTCACAAACATGAAAACGGGATTTTTCAACTGAATTTAATATTCTCTCAGATACTAATTTCCAAAGGAAATCACCAGTGCTAATCTCAGTAAACACGGCAGCATTTTTTTTGGCCCAGGATTCCAACCAGGGAGCACTGAAACCAAACAACCTGCGAAGAATCTATATTGCCTGCCTTTAAAGGTTTATTCCCTACAATTAAACTACGAGGACAGGGAGGAGATAAAATGATTAAAATAAAAAAATGACTGTGGCCTTCTCTTTCCACAAAGCAGGCTTGTCTTCGTATGCTCAGCAGTGGTCAGATGCCCTCGACTGCCCACAACATCTGCATGCACAGGACTTTAGAATAAACTGTAGAGTTTATGATAGGAAAAAAAAAAAAGATTCTTTTACCTGACACAGCATGACCACCTAAAGCCTGATGAAACGTTTCCCAGGCTTCGAGCATCTAAGCATCCCCGTGTGACTACTATCCAATAAAAACCTCAGACACTGGACAGAGGGTTAAAACACTCAAATTTTACATCATGGCAGAGCCACTGAAATCACATTATCAACAAGGATGGAAATGAGCTGCCCGGCTAGAAACTTGTACGTTGACCTGCAGCAAGGAAAGGGGTTTTCATTTTGGAGGCAAATTGAAAACTTTTTAAAAAATAGCATATGTTCTGAGCAAAATTTAACATTTAGAGGGTATACTGAACACCTCTCCTCGACCATCATTCTAGAGGTAGTTTTCTGCTTGCTTCGTATACCTGATAGGACCACCAAGAGGAAGAGCCTGTCCCTCTCCAGTTTAACATCTAAAAAAATATGATGATCAGGGGGTAGTTTTTGTTTTTGCTTTGTGTTTGTAAAATTTGTTTTTTTTTTAATTTTTAAAATAAGTTGTTTCTTGTTTTCTGGTGATTTTGTTTGCATTTTTGTTTGTTTTGTTTGAGACAGGGTTTTTCTGTGTAATCCTGGCTATCCTGGAACTTGCTTGTGTAGATCAGGATGGCCTCCAACTCACTGAGATTCTCCTACCTTTTGCTTCCCAAGTGCTGGGATTAAAGGCATGAGCCATCATGCGCATCCTTAAAATAAGTTTTATAAAAGTGTTGTGGAGATATGACATAGCTTGTAAACAGCCCTCCTCCAGTTTCCCTCAGCGCCAGCTTCTCCGTGAGTGAAATCTATCTGCCAAACCAACAAATTAATATTGGTACATTCAACTTTTATTTGTACTCCATGGAGTTCTTCATTATTGCCTTTCTTTGTGTTCCAAGATCCAGTCCAGTACATAGACTGGATTCACAGCTCAACACCTGCCGGGAGCTGCCACTTGATTTATTCACGTCGGAAGTACAGTCACTTCCGTGTGATCCCAGTGGTTTGGGAATAGTTACACAGGTGGACTTTAAGCAACTCCACTGTGCTGGGTGCCAGCCTGTGCCCGTCTACATATGCAGCAAGGAAGGATTACAGCTCAACACTTCCTACAAAGCCTGCGTCAATATGACAGACAGCTGCCAGTGAGAAAAACATGGAGAAATATGCCTTATACTTAAATGTGATTAGTTCCCGATGACAATGCCATAAGTGTTTTACTGTTATATCCAGTGGCTCACCTCCCTTGGGCTCGCACAGAATCGAGCCTATCACGCTGCATAAAAATAGATGCTCAGTGTAATTAAAATGATTACAACTAGTTGAGATGCATGGGTGGAAAGTTTTATAGAACCGACAATTACTGTGGTCATTTAGGATCGGCTTAAGTTAAAAGGCATAGTTTTTCCTTAAAGCGTAGCCACTCGAATTCTCTGGATTCGTCGGCAGCCCTCACAGTCCCCGTTCCAACTGGGATCCAGTGGGATCAGACATAAATGATCACAAGCTACAGTGACAGACATTTCTCAGCAGCTGAACAATTAGGGCTTTGAATCCCATCTGCCTAGCGGTGGCTTTCTCACAGGCCAGCCCCACTGCCACTGGAGACACACTTCCCACTGCGACTCACTCAGAATCAATATATTTCTCTACAGATAGATATTCGAACACACTATATCTCCATTAATCACCTCAGCGGCCTTCAGCCTTTTCCTTTTGTATTTCTAAACAAGATCTAGGGGAACTCTATCAGGGGTTCACCTGCCATTAGCTGGTAATTTGTTCCTCAGTTCTAAGTGTCATAAGAATTGGGCACTTCCGTCGTCCTTTAGTGCATTCAGTGACAGGTCCTCCACTGGGCACCTGTGTGGAGGGCCCATCATGGGGGTGATTTCTCTATTGTTCTTTTCTGGGAGTCTGACTCAATTTCTTTCATGCCTCGTAGAGTGATAAGTTGGGAATTTCTGAGGTTGGAGCAGAAAGATGAAATAGCTTTGTGTCAGGTGTATGGTAATTATTTGCCAGGGTTTCTGTGTTGTTTGTTTTTTATTCTGTGTTTTCATCACCAGCTAATGAGTTTTCTCCCTTAATTCAGAACAATGGCTTGGCCACTAGAAGTTGGCTTTTGCTGCCTTGGATTCAACCAGCTGTTGCTGCTCCATAAACTTTATGGAGAAGTGAGTTAAGCTGCTAAAAAACTTTTGTCTACTAACTCAATTCCAAATGGAATCGGAGAAAAATGGACCATGATGTGTCTCTCGTAACTCTTTTGGCAACCGAGGCCAGTTCTGAACTTGCAGGTGCTATTTGGGGACACAGTCAGAGAACGGTGACAATTTTACCAAAGAGATTGAGAAGAGACAGAAAAAACAGGTTGAGCATTTAAAAAATGCAATGAAATACAAAACCAAATAACACAAACCATAAAGACATGTTTTCTGCTCAATAGATAAAGGCTTTCTCATGTCAGCGTAAGTCTCTGCCGTTTGTTTATCTCTCTTCCAATTAATTGTGAGTGTGCTGTTGTAAAGTCTGTCGCCTGTAAGCAACTACATGTCACACAGGTTAAAGCATCCTGGGCTTGGCTATGACTTTCTTGTGCATGTCTTCGGATAATATACAGAAATAAGAACTAGTGTAAGACTGTAATTTTTGGTGGGTTTTTGGTTTTTGCTGTTATTGCTATTGACATTAAAAGCGAATGAGGACTTCCTGCTCCCTTTGATATTTAAGAACCCACGAGGCATGTGGCTCCCTCTTTAAACTAATAAATCCTCACTAAAATGCTATAAATAAAGTTTCCTGATCCAAATCCAGTTAGTTTTCATCCTTGGTAGCATTAATATGGCCAAGCCCTTCACAGACCAACTTAACACTAACGCAGGTCCCAAAGCTGAACTGGCAGTGTCATCAGAATGGCAGTGCCCGCTCCCTACTGTGGCCACTCACCTAAGCCTCTGGATCTAAAGAAACATGCTGCATGCAGATGTGACCGGGTATGTGAACTGTTATTCGCATGTGAATATATTACCAAGCACACCTGTGACACCAAAGTCGGGGTGGGGGAGGGGAACCTGTCAATACTTGCAGTGTAAATTACATACCATTTTGCACGAACTCGTGCATTAGGAAATGTATGATGTTTTCCACAGAACATCTGCGAGGCTTCACCGACTCCTAAATATCCATTTGGACTTGCGTGGTTGGTTCTTGTGATTAATCCACATACAGTGAAGGTCTCAGATTCTTCTCTGTTCTCTACAGTCTGACTTCTTGCTCATCTTTCCCCTCCTCCTCTATCTATCCATAACTCAATGTATAAATATTCTTCGCCACCCTCACCCCTCGCCTCCAAGGCCCCAGCAGTGAGTGTAACAGTACCAAATGCCATGAAATCTGCAGAATGAATGAGAGCCATCCAGGTGAAGAAAGCTTCCGTTTATTATTCTTTTTAAAAGTTGTTCCAACGAGGTCTTCGATGTACAAGTAGCCTGAGTTTAAGTTCTGAGTGCAAGTTCTCTATCTTGAGAATTCTTCTACCTACATGGCCACACTAAGAATGGCGTTGTTAGAATGAGTGCTGTAAATAATGAGAAATAGAAGCAAATTGACACTCGGACAACAATCACTACAAAACACCTGTGAATCTAGCGATCCAAAGGACAGCACAGATTAATAATACTCTCAAATGAGCCAAACCGGTCAACAGAAAACTGGAAACGAAAA